CAATGATGAAATTAGGGAGAGAATTCTTTAATTCACTTCAATATCCTCTTTGTCTATGGAACCTTTAAGATAGGTCTTGTTTTTATTATGTTTGTTGTTCAGTTATATCAGTCGTGTCCAACTCTTTGTGACTCCATTTAGGATTTTGTTGGCAAAGATATTGGAGTGGTTTTCTATTTCATCTTCCGGCTCATTTTACAGATGAAGAAACTGAGGCAAACAGGGTTAAGTGATTTGCCCAGGGTCACACACACAGCTAAGAAGTGTCTGAGGCTGAATTTGAACTCAGGTCTTCCTGACTCCAGGTGCAGAGCTCCACCCACTGTGCCCCCTACCTGCCCTTGGTTTAATCAAAGCTAGTTTTAATGTTTGCAAAGCATTTTATAAATATTATCTTGTTTTATCTTTATAATAACCCTGGGAGGTAGGAGCTATTATAATACTCACTTTATGGGCAGGTTAAGTGACTTGTCCAGGGCCATATAACTAGTAAGTGTCTGAGACAGGATTTCAACTCAGGTTTTCCTGACTTTAGCTGTAGCCCTCTATCCTTTTTTACCATCTAGCTATCTACTTTATAGGGAGGCAATGGTGTGTGGTGGCAAGAGTATTGGTTCAAAATCAAAGGCCCTGGGTTCAAATCCCATTTGTGCTATTTGCTTCTTATATGACCCTAGACAAATGACCTCACCTCTCTGGCCTAGTTAAGGGTCAGGCAAGATGGTGTCTGAAGTCACTCCTAGCTCTAGCTTGATTCAATTATGTTTCTTTAGAAACTGAGTCATTGTGTTAAGGCCAAGCTCTCAAAGTAGAATAGTACTAACAATAATAATTCACATTTATTAAACTCCTTCTCATTTGGTCTGGAAGGAGGTTAAACCTTCTTAAATCTTCTTAAACCCAGAAAGGAGGTTAAAATTGGTATTATTATCCCCATTTTCCAGATGAGGAAACTAAGGCTCTGAAACATCAATTAATGCAGAGTTGCCCAGTGAGTCAATGGCACAGTTTGTTAGTGGGTTGAGAATGTTTTTCTCTTACTGTGTGGGAGGCAGTGTACCAGGCCAAAGATAGTCCCTGCCCTCAAGGAGCTCACATTCCATTTAAAGGAGGGGATCTTAAATTGGATTTCTTGAGTTGGTGGTTTTGTTTTTGATAACTATATCTTAGTAGAACTGGTTTCTTTTATAACCTTATGGATTTTAATTTATTCATTAAAAACCTTATTGTGAGAAGGGGTCCAGAGACTTCATCAGACACTACCCAAGAGGTCTAGGACCCCAAAAAAGGTTGAGAACCCTGGATTTAGAGAGACCACAAGCATTCTGTTCTCCATTTTATAGATAAGAAAATAGGGACCCAGAGAGGAGAGGGGTCAAGTCACACAAATAGTTAATAATAATAATAATAATATTAATAATGATAGCTGGCATTTACATAACGTTTTAGGGTTTTTGAAGTGTCTTCACATGCCTTGTACCATTTGAATCCTACAACAATCCTTGAATGCAGATCCCATGGGAATTATTTCCGTTTTACAAATCAGGAAACGGATTGGGAGGATAAGTGACTGGTCTACTGTCGCATAGCCAGTGAGTGACAGAGCTGGGATCTGAACTCAATTCTCCTGATTCCAGGTCCAGTACTTTCTACTATGCTAGAATAGGTATAGCGTGGATATGTGCGTGCCAAGAGAGGGTCACCTGAAGGGGAAAACGTGTATGTCTGTATATGGGAATCTGCATGTGTTTACTAACTTATTCTTCCTTTTCTGTTGGTTAACCCCAGCCAGGACTTCTTCCCTGTTGGCCCTTGGGGGCTTCAGACACTCCCTAGCCGTGTGACCCTGGGCAAGTTGCTCGACCTGTGTGTGCCTCAGTTTCCTCAGCTGTAAAATGGAGATCATAGCAGCACCTATCTTGCAGGGCTGTTTCAAGGATCAAATGAGATAGTATTTGTAAAGTGCACTTAGCGCAGTGCCTGGCACATAATAATAATATATAAATGCTTATTCCCTTCCTCCACTCCCTTCCCCTTCAGCCTGGCTTTGGCTTCCTCCCATCTCAAGTCTGTATCTCTCATCCCTGTGCTTTCTACACCCAAGCACTAATCTCCCTCTGCGCTAGGCCCGCTGGTCTCTTAATTTTACCAATTCATCCACAGTCCTCCCGCCCATATGGATTCTATTTCTGTCCATCTTTCAAGGTCATATTCAACATTCACCACCCCCAGGAAGCCCTTTCTAATTGAGAACACTTTCTGAACATCACTCTCACTTGCTAATATGCCTCCACTATGGCATACAGTCGTCTTGATCTGTATCTTGCCACTGGACCCAGATGGCTCCAGAGGAGCTGGTGACTTTTCATAGACCTGCCTCACTGTAACCTAATTCACTTGCAAGTCATGACATTATCTTCCCTGTGTCATGGTCCTCTTCCAGAGTGAAGGACAAACAATAACTTTTTTAGCAGAGCACCGTTAAGAAAAACAAATTGAGCCAGTGACTGTGTCTGATGGAGTAGGCCTCATCTCTTACCTATAGCTTCTTGCCCCTCTCTGGAGGTTGTTATGAGTCCTTTGAAGTCAAGACTGTGCATTGCCTTGGATCTGAGCTCTGATACTTCAGGGGCATTTGATGTTATTTACGTTCTTCTTCTTTTTTTTTTTGGTAAGGCAGTTGAGGTCACACAACTAGTAAGTGTCAAATGTCAAATGGATTTGAACTCAGGTCCTCTCCAGCACCACTGCGCCATCTAGCCGCCCGTTATTTACGTTCTAACAATATTGTGGCGATGGCGTATATTGCTCTCTTGTGTCTGCTTTCGTTGCCTCAGCACTGATGTAGATGTCCAGCTCCTCTAATTCTTCATACTTACTGTTTCTTATGATGTACAGTCCATTGCATTCATATGCCAGTTTGTTTAACCAGTTCCTGATCGATGGGCACCTACTTTGTTTCCAATCTTTTGCTACCATGAAAAGTATCACTATAAGTATTTTGATGGATAAATAGTCAGACAGACAGAGATAGAAAGATGGACAGATGGATAGGTAGGTAGACAAACAGATAGATGATTGATAGCTAGACAGACAGATAGATAAACATAGAGACAGAAAAATAGATAGATGGGTACAGACTGATATATAGATAGATAGACAGACAAGCAGATTAGCTTATTTGCATATATACATGTGTATACACTATAGCTACATACACATGTATACATATACATGCATGTATACATATACACACAAAATTGTGATATCCTCCCAGATCTTTCCATAGACTTATGGCCTAGGTTCTTCCTCTGGGAGTTTCCTCTGTCTCTGCCTGTGTCTCTCTGTCTGTCTTTGTCTCTCTCTGTCTCTCTGTCTTTGTCTCTTTCTATCTCTGTCACTCAATCTCTCTGCCTCTGTCTCTCTGTCTTTGTCTTTCTATCTCTGTCACTCAGTCTCTGCCTCTGTCTCTCTGTCTGTATTTGTTTCTCTCTATCTTTCTGTCTTTGTCTCTCTCTATCTCTGTCACTCAGTCTCTCTGCCTCTTTCTGTCTTTGTCTCTCTCTATCTCTGTTACTCAGTCTCTCTGCTTGTATTTGTCTCTCTCTGTCTGTCTGTCTTTGTCTCTCTCTCTGTCTCTCTGTCTTTGTCTCTCTGCCTCTGTCTCTGCTTCTGTCTGTCTGTATTTGTCTCTCTCTGTCTCTCTGTCTTTGTCTCTCTATCTCTGTCACTCAATCTCTCTGCCTCTGTCTTTCTGTCTTTGTCTCTCTCTGTCTCTGTCACTTGATCTCTGCCTCTGTCTCTCTGTATTTGTTTCTCTCTGTCTTTCTATCTTTGTCTGTCTCTATTTTGTCACTCAATCCCTCTGCCTCTTTCTGTCTTTGTCTCTCTCTATCTCTGTTACTCAGTCTCTCTGCTTCTGTCTCTCTGCCTCTGTCTCTCTATCTCTGTCACTCGATCTCTGCCTCTGTCTGTCTATATTTGTCTCTCTGTCTCTCTGTCTTTGTCTCTCTGTCTCTGTCACTCAATCTCTGCCTCTGTCTCTCTGTCTGTATTTGTTTCTCTCTGTCATTCTCTCTCTCTATTTTGTCACTCGATCTCTCTGCCTCTGTCTCTCTGTCTTTCTCTCTCTCTATCTCTGTCACTCGATCTCTGCCTCTGTCTCTGTTTTTGTCTCTCTCTATCTCTATCACTTGATCTCTCTGCCTCTGTCTCTCTGTCTGTATTTGTTTCTCTCTGTCTGTCTCTCTGTCTTTGTCTCTCTCTGTCTCTATCTCTCTTCCTCCCATTCTCTACCTTTTATCTTTTCCTCACTTTCCTCCTGTTTCTTTCCTCTTCCCTTGTTTGGCCTCTAAGTCTGTTCCAACTCTGTCTTCTTAGGGATCATAGGTCATTGACTAGCTGAGCTAGGAGGGTCCTTAGAACATAAAATGTTAAAGCTGAGAGGGCTCTCAGAACATAGAACTTAAGAGCTGGGAAGGATCTTAGAACCTGGAATTCAGAATTGGAAGAGACCTTAGCTCATAGCGTTGTCAGGGTTGGAAGGTTCCTTGGAAACCATCTAACCCCAACATTTCACAAAGGAGCAAGGCAAGACTCAGGGAGGTGACTCTGACCATAGGCCAAAATTACGTCTAGGGATAGGAAGTACACCCAGCCTTCAGACCTGGGTGAGGCACCTGAAATCAGGTGGCGGACGAGATTACTTTTAGAGAAGGGGCCAATCTAAAGAGTATGTGGTGGTCGTTTCAGTTATTATTATTATTGCCATTTCTTTTTGGTGAGGCAATTAGGGCCAAGTGACTTGTCCAGGGTCACACAGCTAATAAATGTTATGTGTCTGAGTCTGGATTCAAACTCAGGTCCTCCTGATTCCAGGGCCAGTGCTCTATCCACTGTGCCACCATTTTTGGATGAGGAAACTGAGCCTTGAGGAGGTAATGTGACTGCAAGGCTGCACAGGGGAATCACCAATTGACCAATGCCTCTCTCTTTTGCAGCATCCTGGGGGTGCTGAGCAGTGAGGAGACAAAGAGCCGTCAGGGCACGGTGCCAGGCCCTGGCATGGAGGAGGTGGGCACACACCCGGTCCGGCCAGAGTCTCGTGTGGTGAGTGCCACCCTGACCTGGCGGCATCGGCCCCCTGCCCAGGAGGAGGTCCGGCACCGCTTCCATAAGGTCTCCCTGGTCTCACCAGGTGGGGGTGCTGCTCCCCAGGAGGAATCATACGCATACACCTACCATCGAGAGGAAGTCAATGGTGTCACCACGTGTGAAGAGGAGACTGTGAATTCTCAGGGGCCCAATGTCAGGGTCAGGGAGAGGCACGACCCACCCGAGGACTTAACTCTGGGTGACACAAAGAAATTCCTCAGTCATGAGCCCATCTTCTCCAAGATGTACACACCACTCCCAAAGGACAAGAGGCAGCAGGGGAGACTGAAGGAGGCCAGTGGCCAGGCCCACAGCAGCACCGCTATTCCTCAGGCAGAGATGTCAAGGCTCAGTGCTGCTGCGGGCCCCAGGGCAGAGGGCCCAGTGGCAGGGCCCCGGGAAGCAAGCCCTCACCCGGGCCTGGGCTCCTCCAGCGAAATCTTTCGGGGCTCCGAGGAGAGGCGGGTGACTCGGACTGTACGCACCACGACAATGGTGGGAGGGCGTGTGGAGAGACGGACAAGCAGCAGCAGCTCAGTAGTGACTGGGCCAACTGCGGCTGAAGGGCTACCCCGGGGCCGGCACCTAGCGCGAACCGTCCGAGCTGTTGTGGTAGGCCCCCGGCCTGCAGACTCCCCCTCCCCTAGTCGGAGCCAGGCCCTGGAAATCCTCAGCAATCTAGTACCCCCTGAGCCTCACTCCCCAAAAGCTGAGACCCTGAGATGGAGCCGGCTACCCCAGGCCATCCCCAGGTTCCAAGGGCCCTCCTCAAGCCACGTGGGAGTGCCTGGGACTCAAGGACAGCCCCCAAATTTTGGGAAGGCTAACCGAGAAGAAGGTAGTACCCACAGGGCCAGTGACATCATTGCTGAGGCCCCTTCATCCAAAGAGAGGGACGTACCAGTTACTAGGCTGTCTGAGTCTGAAAGTGGCCCAGTTCCTCTCGCGCTTCCTCCTCAGGGTTCCCCCAGCAGAACTTCATCTTCCCTTGGACCGCAGCCCCTGAGCACCCTCACTGCCCCGGAGCTGCCCACAGTGTGTCGCGGCCCCAGTGGTGAGCTCTCCATGGAGTCTAGGATATCCCCTCCCCCATTGCAGGTGAAAAGCGAGGTTGTCCTGAGCCCTGGAGCTCCCCAGGACTCATCTTCTAAGAGGACTGAGGTTGTCATGAGTTCTCAAATGTCTCTTGCACCATTCCCCAAAAGGGACAAAGTTGTCCCAGAACCTAGACCTTCTCTAACTCTATCACCCAAAAGCAGTGAGATTGACCTGGGTTCTGGAGAATGTTTTGTCCCATCTTCCACAAAGACTGAGGTTGTCTCGGGCCCTGGAGCCCCTCTTATCTCACCCCCAGTGAAGACTGAGGATGTCTCAGGCCCTGGAGCCCCTCTTATCCCACCCCCAGTGAAGACTGAGGTTGTCTTGGGCCCTGGAACCCCTCTTGTCCCACCCCCAGTGAAGACTGAGGATGTCTCGGGCCCTGGAGCCCCTCTTGTCCCACCCCCAGTGAAGACTGAGGATGTCTCGGGACCTGGAGCCCCTCTTGTCCCACCCCCAGTGAAGACTGAGGATGTCTCGGGCCCTGGAGCCCCTCTTGTCCCACCCCCAGTGAAGACTGAGGATGTCTCGGGACCTGGAGCCCCTCTTGTCTCACCCCCAGTGAAGACTGAGGATGTCTCGGGACCTGGAGCCCCTCTTGTCCCACCCCCAGTGAAGACTGAGGATGTCTCGGGACCTGGAGCCCCTCTTGTCCCACCCCCAGTGAAGACTGAGGATGTCTCGGGACCTGGAGCCTCTCTTGTCCCACCCCCAGTGAAGACTGAGGATGTCTCGGGACCTGGAGCCTCTCTTGTCCCACCCCCGGTGAAGACTGAGGTTGTCTTGGGCCCTGTTGTCCCATCTCCGACAAAGACTGAAGTCGTGCTGGGGCCCAAAGACCCCACTGGCCCACCTCCCTTGGAGGTTGGGGCTTCCCTCCAGTTTGAGTCCTCACAGGTCCCCGCCAAGGGTGAAGCCAACCGGGAGTCTATTGGAGAAGAAGAAGAAGTAGCCCTGACTGCTGATCTGGAGCTTTTCCTGGACACTCTGCGGAACATGGAGGCCCCCGAGATCCTGCGCACCCACAGGCTGCCCCGGGCACCCCGCTCCTCCTATCTGGCCATGTATGCCACGCTGCCTGCCATCGATGAGGACCAGGCCTCGGCCTGGACTCCGGGATCTGGGCCAGAACTGGAGCCAGAGCCGGAGCCGGAGCCAGAGCCCGATGAGGAGCTTGAGAACCCCTACCTCAGTGATGATGAGAAGCTTCAGCGGCGCCAGGAGAAGGCCAGCCCTGGGCCGGGATTCTTCTGGGACACCCAACCCTCCCGGAAGCCCCTGGAAGCCCGCTCCCCACTGGACATGATGAAGCTGCACGTGGCAGATGGTCAGGGGCCACAGGAGACAGAACTGGGTCCACGGCAGGGGGCTGCCGGGGCTCTTCCTTCCCGCCTCGAGGGCAGCCTCCTGTTTAGAGGAGGGGAAGTGGCACCTCCTGCCACTCTGGGGGCCAAGTTATCTTCCCTGCGACCCCATGCGTCACCTGCCCTGGAGAAGGGCCCTGGGCGCATACCCCTGCTGTCCAGCCAAGGAAAGCCACAGGTCCAGGTGGAAGCCAAGGCTGCCATTCAGCTTCCTGAGGGCAGGGTAAGAGAATTTAATAATTTAATAATAATAGCAACAACTGCCACCTCTAGCTGTTATTATACAGCACTTTAAGGTTTGTAAGACCTTGTTATAATTATTATAATATAATATTGTTATATGATGTGCAAATATTATCTCATTTGATCCTTACAACAACCTTGGAAATAAATGCTATTATTATGACCATTTTACAGCTAAGAAAACAAAGGCAGACAGAGGTTAAACGACTTTCCCAGGGTCACACAGCCAGAAAGTGTTTGAGGCTGAATTTGAACTCAGGTCTTCCTGACTCCAGGTTCAGCACTCTATCCACTGCATCACTTAATTACCTAATTTTTGCGTGTGTGTGGCGGGGGGAGGTATTGCATTGGGTTTTGGGTTGCCCATGGGACAAAGGGGCACAGGAAGCTGGGAAAGGGGAGTGAGAAGCTCTCAGCATGCTGAGGGGGATGGGAGTGGGGATCTCATATAATATAATGGGAACACATTGGTTTACAAGACTTGAGTTTAAATCCTGGCTCTGGAGAACCTCTTGTCCCATCCAGTGTGACTTTGGGCAAGTCATTGCTTCTCATGGGCCTTCGTTTTCTTCCTCTGATAAATGAGGGATTAGTCCAAATCTAGTGTTTGTCACCTTTTTTTGTGTTGTGTCTCTCTTGGAAAGCCTGTGGACCCTTTCTCAGAATAATGTTCTTAAATGGGCAAAATAATAAAGTCCATAGTGCTGCAAAGACTGAAATATAGTTATTAAAATAATAAATTCATGGACCCCAGGTTAAAACCACCTGACTTAATGATTCCTAAGGCCGCGTCCAACTCAAAGTCCCATGATCCTATTGGAGTGGGTTTGAATCTGGGCCCTACCACTGACTATCTGTGTGACCCTGGGCAGGCTACTTCTCTCTGGACCTCAGTTTCCTCATCTGTAAAATGGGTGTACTAATATTTCTACCACCTCTCACGAAGGGCGTGGTTAACTTTTTAATTCCATAGAAATGGGAGCTGCTGGTATTGTAATAATAACATGGAGCCCCTGCTGAGTGCTTGGGGGCTCTGTGGGCTTGGGCTCTCAGGGCAGGGGCTCTAGGCCTAGGGAGGGAGGAGAAGGGGGTCAGGGTTTGGAGGGGCCTGTGATCTTCCTGAACATCCCTTTCTTGTCTCCTTTCCTTACCTGGCTAGAGATGGGAAAAGAAGGAACAAGGAAAATTAAACACCAGACCAGGAAAGGTACTGAGGGTGAAGGGGGTGATGGGAAGGCCCTGTGGGCAGGGACGGGGTGGGGAGGGTCATCTTCCTATCTTTCAGCCTGCCTGGTCCACGGTGGACAATTTATAAATGCTTACTGATGGACAGATTAGGGCAGGGGGAGTGGGCCAGTACAGCAGGAGAGGGGAGGGATCAGGCCCGCCAGAGGGGTCAGCGGGTAAAGCTTGGGGCATAAAGGTTAAAGGTCTGAGCATAACTGAAGGTAGAGGAGAGACAATGGTCAGCGGTCCAGGGAGAAGGGCAGAAGGGCAAGTGGACTGGAACGGGCAAGGGCGGAGGGAGGTCAGGGTGCCTGCACCAGAGGGAGAGACGGTGACCCATTTGGGAGTGATTGGCCCATCTGTTGACATTCCTTCTCATCTCCAGATCATCCTCTTCTTGGAGCCTGGCTGCCAGGGCGAAGCCCGGGAGGTCTGGGATGACGTCACTGACGCCACAAGCTGGCTTCCCTCTCCAGCTTCCCTCCGGGTGCTAAGAGGAGGGTGAGCGTAGGGGCCATAGCTGACAGGGGTAACAGAGGGGAGGGTTGAGGGTGGACACTGGGCCTCTGGCTGACTCCCCAGGCAGGACTCTGTGGAGGGGCAGCTGACTTGGCGTGTTCATCGAGGGTAAGAGTAGGATACAGGCCCTTGTCTGCCTCCAGAAACAAAAGTGTGGGCCCTATTGGCATCCTCAGACCTGGACAGATGGGCCCTAGGAGGGAGCGGTCTCTGGGTCAGGCTTTGGGGGAAGGCCCTTCCCAGGTGTTCCTTGTGCCTGCAGGTGGATGCTATATGAGAAGCCTGGATTCCTGGGCCGGAAGCTGGTCCTCCCCGAGGGGGACATGGAGCTCAGGATGTCAGGCATGGCATGGAGTCCTGTGACCATCGGCTCCCTCAGGAGGATCGTCAGGGTGAGCAAAGCTGCTTCATGGGGTCACCCAAATGGGAGCTGGTCAGGACGTGTTCACCCTATCCTTAGAGCCGGGGGAGGGGGAGCATTAAGTTTCAGTATAATCCAAAGACAGCAGGAGACATAATTTCTGCTTGCAGGGAGCCCCCAGTCTAAATGGGGAGATGTACATCCTGTGCTCAGGTCGCTCCTGGTCTGAAGAGGGAGATGTGACTCTGCCTCTCACTCTTTGAGAAGTAAAACTGAGAATGGAACGGAGGTCGACGTTACTATTATCCCCATTTTACAGTGGAAGAAACTGAGGCAGGCAGAGACGACGTGATCTCCCAGAGTCACACAGCTATAAATGTCTGAGGCCAGATTTGAACTCGGCACTTTGACCAAATGCTCACTCCTTTATCCACCGTGCCAGCTAGTGCTACTTTGCTTGGCTGGAGCTGGGGTTGGGGGCATCTAAGTATATGAGCAGGGGTTGAGGGGAGGAGGTAGAATATCCCTTTCTTGTCTCCTCTCCTCACCTGGCTAGAGTTGGGAAGAGAAGGAACAAGGATTTCGGGCTGCACATAAACAGATGTACCCCCAGAGGTAACTGGGAACCACTATGGGTTCCCTGAAGGAGCTAATTCAGGAAGTTGAGCAGAGCTCAGTGAGGGGCTGAGGTAGGGAGGAGGCCAGGGGGTCTGCAGACAGGCCGGGCCTGAGAGAGAAACCAGGGGAAGTTTTCAGGGGAAATTTGAGGCAGGAGGAAGGAACAGGAACAGACAGTAATTGTCTTAGGGGCTTCTACAATGGGATGCCCCTGTGTCCTCCAGACTCCAGGTCTGTGAGGCAATCCAAAGGGAGGGGCAGGGCAGATCATTTACTCAATATTTGTGATAAGCTTTTAATTTTAGAGGGGCAATGTGGCATCGTGGAAAGTGGTCAGGACTTTGGAGTCAAAAGTGCTGAGTTGGGGTCCTGTCTCTGGAGCTAGTTGTATGACCTTGGACAAATCATTTTCCCCATGTGTAAAATGATAATATTTCCCAGCACTGTTGAGTGTACACCTTAATTTTTATTGTTACTCTGTATCCAACTCAGTAGTAGTCAGGGAGGGAGATACCAAGAAGGCTGTAGCCCCTCAAAGGGCTTACAGTCTAGTTAGTAGGCAGGCAGGCTCGAAGAAGGGAAGGTACTGTTAAGAGGATCTAGGAGAGTTCATGGGAATGGCATCACTTGGGCAAGACCTTGAAGGAGGGGATGGTGCTCCAGGTATAAGGACCATGGTGAGCAAAGGCTCAGGGGAGGAAAATGAGAGATGGGTTTGGGAGATAAGGAATGGTCTTTTTGTGTGAAGGAGGTTGGAAAGATAAAATAGAGCCAAATTGTAGGATGTCATCAAGTGACCTTACAAACCTCATTCCATGACCTGTCTACCGCGCAGGTTGTTTTGCCAAGTAGAATGTAAGCTTCTTGAGGGCAGGGACTATTTTATTTGTGTCATTATGTCCCCTTGGCACATAGCAGCACTTAATTTTTTTACATTTAATTTTTATTTTGTTTTTTCTCAATTACATATAAAATTTCAACAAAAAAATTTTAACTTTGTTTTTCAAAATTTTGAGTTCCAAACTCTCCTTCCTCCTTGAGAAGGCAAGCAATTTGATACATGAGGCACTTAAATGTTAGTGTAATTCTAGGAGTGTGATGGAAAGAGCACTGATTTTAACTATGTGACCTTGGGCATGTCACTTGACCATTCTGAGCCTCCTTTTCCTCACCTGTAAAATGGGGTAGTGCAGTATAGTAGAATGAATGCTGGACTTAGAATCAAGGCTTTGAATTCCAACTCATCCTGCCACTTCTGCCTCTATAAATCTCAGTTACCTCTTCTATAAAATGGGCATAATACCTTCACTCTCTGTCCTGGAGAAAATATGAGGATCAAAAGAGATAATCAATCAGTCAATCAACATTTATTAAATGCCTCCCATGTGTCAGGCACCGCACTAAGGGCTGGGGATATGAAAAGAAGCAAAAGATAGTGCCTGTCCTCGAGGAGCTTACAATCTAATGGAGGAAGGTACCACTCGAATGAATATATACAAAGCAAGATATATATATATATATGTGTGTGTATATATATATATATATATGTGTGTGTGTGTATATATATATATATATATATATATATATATATAATGTAGGATAAATAGGAAATAATTAACAGAAAGAAGGCAATGGAGTTAAGAGGGGTCGAGGAAGGCTTCCTGTAGAAGATGGGATTTTAGTCGGGACTTAAAGGAAGCCATGGAGGTCAGTAGTCAGAACGGAGGAGGGAGAGTGTTCTAAGCATGGGGGACAGCCAGAAAGAATGTATAATAATATTAGTTAGAAGCCTTACTGGAATGTATGAGGAGGGGTCTGCCCAAAGGCAGTGGGTCCCCTTCATCAGGGAGCTCCTGGATCTGAATCGTTGGCTGGACCTTTCAAAGGTCACCTTCTCCATCCCCTTGCCTCTGGGCAAGATGACCCCAGACCCAGGGGCCAGGGAGGCCTGACGATTCTCCTTAGGGTCTGAGCATCTTGTCTGCCTCTCACATCCCTCCCTCTCCCCCCAGGACTATGCCATCCCCGAGATCAGCCTCTTCTCAAAGGAAGGCAATGAGGGTGTCCAGGTGACGTTGACGGAAGCCTTGGAGGATGCCCAGGGACAGGGACAGCCCTTACTTGCATCATCTGTTACTGTCACTGCTGGATTGTAAGACGGGGATGAGTCAGGATTCCATTCCCTTCCCACTCCTAAGTTCCATCCACCTGCCTGAGCCCCCGCCCCAGAGAAGAACCCGTGGGACGTAACAATGTTCACTTCTCTCACAGCCCCAGGATCTCCCAATGGGACTCTTGGATTTCCCTCTACCCAGACCTGTGATCCCCCATCCTGCTTCCGTCCCCACACATTCCCTTGCCTCACATTTCTGTATTTCCTGGGACCACGTCAAAGACACCCTTGCTCTTCTCCAGGTGGTTGCTGTATTCCAAACCCTACTACACTGGGGTTCCTTGCATCCTGGAGCCCGGAGTCTATCCTACTGTGGAAGCCTGGGGTTCTTCTGACCCTCATGTCAACTCCCTGAAGCCTTTGAGACTGGTGAGGGCCAGACCCAAGACAGCAGTAACTCACCAGCCTCAGCTGTTACACTCAGTTATTGTCCTCTCCTCTCTGGGAGCACTGGGTCTGAAGAGAGACTCGGCCTGATCATCACATCAAGAGGGATGGAGAGAGGAAAAAGAGGAAAAGGGGGAAATTGCCCAAATGACAGTGGAGGAGCTGGGGGTGGGCCTCTTTGACCGTGGGAAAAGCCTCCCAGGCAACATCCACTTTGTGTGATGGAAAGGCCAAAGAGAAAAAGGGAAAAGTCAAAAGAAACTCTCTCTTCAGGGGTCAGCACAGGCCACCCCTAAAGAGGTGTCCCTTTCTGTCCTGTCCTCGGCCTTGTCTCTGTTCTCCTTTCTCCAGCCTAGGCTTTACTTTGTCATCTCTACAGGGTTGTCCTACTGTGGAGAAGCCAGGGGAGCCCAAGGTAAGACCTGAAACTACCTCCCTATACTTCCTCCAGGGACCTATTCTGTGGGAGCTGTGAGGAAGGTGTGACCGGGGCAGCTTTGAAGATAAGAGCTTCCCTGAAGGATGGAGAGGGAGGGAAGTCTAGGGGTAATGGGGCCACGGTGTTGTGGATAAGGGTTTCCCCTGGGCCCTCTAAGATCCTCTGGGAAGCAGCTTCTACTATACCCAACTTAGCCTTTAGCAAAGACAGTAGAAGCTTCCAGTGGCTGAAGGGGGCTTAGTGAGGGAATAGATACTCAGTGAAAATAAGGGCACTCAGTGAAAAAGATGGGGACTCATTAAGGTCATAGGTTCTCAGTGATAATAAGGATGGGAGCTTAGTGTTGGGATAGGAGCACAGTGAAGATGAGGTCTCATGAAGAGATACCCCAGTGTGGGGGGTGGAGGGGAATAGGGACCTAGTGAGGGGAATAGGAGCCTCAGTGAGGGGGATAAAAAGGCTTAGCGAAGGAATGGGGAACCCATCCAAGGGCTTAAGGCTCAGTGAGGGATGTGGGCGCTCAGAGATGCGGGATGATCACTCTGTATTGGAGGGTCACAGGAATCCTAGTTCTGGCCCTGAAGAGGAGGCTGGGGGGTTTAGCTGCAGTACCATGGTTGGGGTCAAGGCCTCAATGTCCTGATCCTCCCCGTAAGCCTGGCATTCCCTCCCCCTTTCCTAGGCCCTGGTGTATGAAGCCACAGACTTCCAGGGCTGCTGCTGGGAAGTGAGCCGAGACATCTATGACATGAAGAGGCCGGAGGATGGACAGAGCCCCAGCTTGGCCACTGTGGGCTCCTTGCGTATCCTTGGGGGCTGGTAAGTGGCTGGGGACCCATCCTCTCCTCTCAACATAGCATGTTGACCTCTGACACCCCTGCTAAGCTTTCTTTACCCCCTCCCCACTTTCATTCTGGTCACTTTCTCCCTCTAAGCTCCTGACCCCCTGGGTTTAGTCTTGGCCTCCTCCCCCCAGCCCCAAATGGAGCTCCATTGTCCTCTGAGCTCTACAGCCCCAATGCCACCTAGCCCTAGTGGCACTGGCTTCCCCAGTGGCCCTCCCTCTGACAACTTTAGTGGCAGAGGCTGTAGGGACCTGAAGAGATCTGTCTGTCTGTCTCCTGACATAGCTGGGTAGGCTACGAGAAAGAAGGTTTCCGAGGTCACCAGTACCTGCTGGAGGAAGGCGAGTATCCAGACTGGTCCCACTGGGGCGGCTATGACAAATTCCTGACCTCCCTGAGGGTCATCCGCACGGTAAGGGAGCATCTTCGGGGTGATTTTGTCCATCCCCCTGCCTCCCCTTCACTTAGACTCTTGCCTGCAGGTCTGGCCTCTCTCAGGGCATTGGCCTAGGTCTCATTGGTAGACCCCTTCCCTATAACCAATAGCTCTCTAACTGGGCCAGCCTCTCCTCATGAGCTGGAGCTGAGAGGGAGGAGTGAAAGGAATGGGAACAGGAGGGCTGATTGTCTATTTGTACCCAGGACTTTTCGGACCCAGCTGTGATGCTGTTTGAGCTGCGGACTTTGAGGGACAGAGTGTGGGATTGAGTGAGGCACTGCTTGACGTGCAGCTGGCTGGACACGGCCTCACCACTCAAGCCATCCACGTGTTGAGTGGCGTGTGAGTGGCCAGTGGGAAGGGGCAGGGGAGGTCCAAAGCGAATGTGAGGCAAGGCTACTGGAGTGGAAGGGACCCTGGTAGCATGGACTGGTAGCATCAGGCCTAGGGTGTCTGACGTAAAGGGACCCCAGGAGAGGTACGTGGGAGAGACAGAGAGACAGACAGAGGAGAAAGAGACAGACAGACAGAACCACAGAAAGAAAAGAGATAAGGGGACAGAAAAATAAGGGGGTCCTAGGTGTGTGTGTGTGTCAGAGAGAGGCAGAGAGAGACAGAGACAAAAAGAGACAGAGACAGAGAGACAAAGAAAGACACACACACACAGAGACAGAGAGAGACAGAGAGAGACAAAGGTAGAGACAGAGAGGAAAAGGAAGAGAGAAACAGACAGAAAGAGAAAGAATGAGGAAAAAAGGTAGGAGATCCTAGGGGGTAAGTGTGAGAGAGGGCCAGAGACAGAGAAAGAAAGAGAAGGTAAAAGCAAGACAGACAGACAGGGAGAAGGGGAGGGGCCTTTGGGGTAGGTGGCAGGGAGCATGTAGCCATGGCCATGGAACCAGGAGACGGGGTTCAGAACCCTGGCTGTGACACATCCTACCTGTTTTACTTTGAATCAGTTCTTCGCCCTCCCCGAACTTCAGTTTCCCTATCTGACAAAGGAGACTGATGGATCTTGTACTTACCCCACATGGCTGTCGACAAGCCTTACGTTGCTTGGAATGAGTTCTTATTCCTTTCCCCCATCCCATGAATAGGGGCTCCAGTTTCTCGGTAGCTCCATCATGGACACTCGGTACTCCTGTCTAGGCCTCTTGCCCTATCATCTCCTCCCCACTTCTGTGTATCTGACCCTCAGCTGGGTACCATCCCCTGCTCTGTCTCAATAAATCTCAGGACCTAAGGCCTATAGTCCCCCTTTCTTATGCATTCCCAGGCTCTCCCCAACTCATAGCCTCTTTTCACCTGTAGGTGGGTGGCCTATGAACAGGTGGGCTTCTCCGGGGAGCAGTATGTACTGGAGAAGGGCGTGTACCGAAATTGTGATGACTGGGGGGCTGGCAACAGCACTATCGCCTCCCTGCAGCCCATTTTGCAGGTCAGTAAGGTCTCTAGATGAGGGGACAAGAGGGGCAGCCCTCTTTGGTGGGAGGAGCAGGGCTGTGGGTAGGGGCTTTAAGGGATATTGGGAGTGGGGCCTTTTCTGGTGGGCCAGGCAGGGCTGAGGGTTAGGGGGTCTCCAGGTAGAAGGGATGGAGTTGGAGGTCATGCCTCTAAGGAACCTGGGCTGGGAGGAGGCTCAGTTTGGGAGCTGGATGTCACCTAATAAGCTGGGTAGGTGGAGAGCATTGGTGTGTGTATGACAATGTGGGGAAGTAGAGTGGGGAATTCCTTCCTGGTTGGAAAGGCAGGGCCCAGGATAGGGATAGGGTAGCTCTGGTGGGTGGGGCAATGATTTAGGAAGAACCAGAGGCTATGGAAGGTACCTCTTCCTGGGAACCTAGGCCTATCCAGGTGTGCTTTGAGGAGAAGGGAGGAGCTTCCCCTGGTTTATTGGACAGGCTAGTGGGGCAGAGCCTTTGGTTTAGAGAGGGCCATGATATGGACACAGATGGGGTGGGCCAGAGCTTCTCTTGAAGGAATGAGATTGGAACAGAGCCCAAAGCAGGAAGGGGCCTCCGGTGGGTGTGGGGCTCAGAACAGATCCTAGAAGGGGCAGCTAGAGATACTTACTGTGGAGATAGGGGGGACAGCTATTGGTCATGCTGGGGTCCTGGCTAAACTTGGAGGCCCCTGTGTCCTCCTGATCCTCATACCTACCTCTCATTTCTTCCAGGTGGGGGAGCACAACCTACATTTTGTCTCTAAGGTAAGGAAGACAGTCCTTGCTGGGGGAGGGGAGGGGGCAGAAAAGATTCTCATCTCCCCTTCTGAAGCTGTGTCATCAGAGGCTCCTTCCCCTACAGTCACTGACTCTGGATTGGACAGGAACTCAGCGCTGAACTGGTCCTATCTGTATGAGTAGGAAACCCTTCTACAGTATCCCCAGCAAATTGCCCACACCTCACTTTACCCTACTGTCCACTCAAGCTGTCCTCCCATGTCCCTCCTTCCTTTCAAGACAAACTCTTAGGAAAACTGTCTACACTGAGTACCCTCCCTTCCTCTCCACTCATTTTTCAACTCCTTGCAAACTGGGCTTCTGACCCCTCATTCAATTGCAAGCTCTCTCTTCATAGTTACCCCCTAACTCCTAACTGCCCAATCTGATGGTCTTTTCTCTCTGCCTTAACAGTCAATAACACTGTTGACCACCCTCTTCTCCTGGTCTTCTCTCTGTGTGTTTTCATGACATTGCTCTTTTGGTCCTCCTATCTGCCTGACCAGTCCTACTCGGTCTCCTCCACATCTCTTTGCCTCCAATGGTGGGTATACTCCAGGGCTCTCATCCAGATCTTCTCTTCTCTTGGGGACCTCATCAGTTCCTAGATCATCTCTATGCAAAGGATTCCCAGATCTCTATGTCTAGCGCTAGTATCTTTCTTGGGCTCCGGTGCCATGTCACTGTCTATTGGTCATTTCCACCTGGATATCTCACAGGCGTCTCAAACTCAATGTGCCCGAAGTAGAACTCTTTCCTCCAAACTCCACCCCTCTTCCTGCGTTCCTTATTACTGTCTAAATCATCACCATCCTTTCAGTCACCCAGTATCCTAGGATCACAGCCATGCTCAACTCTTCCCCCTCCTTAACTTCACATACTCAGCCAGTTGCCAAATCTTTTCCTTCCTTCCTTCCTTCCTTCCTTCCTTCCTTCCTTCCTTCCTTCCTTCCTTCCTTCCTTCCTTCCTTCCTTCCTCCCTCCCTCCCTTCCTTCCTCTCTTTCTTGGCAATCAGGGTTAAGGGACTTGTCCAGGGTCACACAGCTAGTAAGTGTCTGAGTCCAGATTTGAACTCAGGCCCTCCTGACTCCAGGGCCAGTCCTCAATGCACCCCGATTCTTATTAACTTTTTTGCTTTTTATTTATTTATTTTTCATTTTCAACATTCGCTTTTATAAGATTTTTGAGTTCTAAATTTCCCTCCTCCCCCCAGACAGCATGCAATCTCAAATCTTATTATTCTTAACTCCATGGCATTTCTCACATTCCTTCCCCTTGGCAAGAAGCCTTTCTGGATCCTCCTTCATCTTGATGCCTTCCCCACGACGGTCAGTTTACTCCATCTCTGTATTGTTTGTCCTTAGGTATTTGCATGTTTTCTCTCCTTAGACTAAGACTTCCCTGAGGGCAGGGACTCTTGCTTTTCTTTGTTTCTCCAGTGCTTAGCACAGTGGCTGGCATACAGTAGGCAGTTAATAAATTCTAGTCGATTGATTTCATCTTCTTCCCATTGCTCTTAGCTCTGGCCTCTACCTAGGTACTGCCCTCCCCCCAACTTTCCCTTCCCTTCTCCGGTGGCTTCCTCCTTCACTATCTCCTGGCCCGAGAGTACAGTGGCTTCAAATCCCAACTCTGTCACTAACGACTTGCCTGACTTCAAGTAAACCATATCCCCCCTCTGGTCTTGAGTGTCCTTGTTTGTCAATGAGGAGGTTATAGTTGAGAAGTCTACGGGCTAACATTGCATGTTCTATGGGCCCTCCCCAGCTCTGACAGGTCGCTTTCTCTGTTCCCAGATTCAGCTCTTCTCAGGACCTGATTTCCTTGGGGACCACTCTCTTTTGAGGAAGACCAGGCCTCTTTGCCCTCCTCCTTCCAACCCCAGTCCTGCCGGGTCCACGGTGGCAGGTAACAGAGGGGGTCCTGGGAGAGGGGAAGCTGTACTCTCAGGCTGGGACCACAAAGGGCTGGTTTCATGGGACAGGGGTGAGGAGGCCTCCCCAGAGTTTACCTCAAGACAAGGGCAGCAGGGGCAGCTAGGTACGTAGAGCTCTGGCCTTGAAGTCAGGAGGACCTGAGTTCAAATCCAACCTTAGACACTTGATACTTACTACCTGTGTGACCCTGGGCAAGTCACCTAACTCTGATTGCCTCACCTGAAAAGCAAAAAAACCAAACCAAAACAAACAAACAAACAAAAAAAAAGGGCAGCAGAGGGGGAGTATGAGAAGAGAGGCTTCCCAGGGAAGGAGATTCCTATGCTCTTCTTGCCCTGGTTTACCTAGACTTGGCTACTCTGACACTAGTCAGTTCATTCTTCCTTGAGTCTAACCTCGGGACTGCTACTGAACAGTCAGCTTGACTGAACCAAGGTGTGCTAGAGAGCAGGTTGGCTGGAGCCCTGTGTTAGGACTGAGGATAGAGGCTCTCCCCTCTCTGGGCCCGAGCTGGGGCCCTGCAGCCTCAGAAGGACTTCTTGGGTGCTCTGCCTAGACTCTAGAGAGGCTAAGGCAGCCAGACTGAGACTCCTCCTCATTCCAACAGCTGGATCCTGTTTGAGAAGCAGGAATTTGAGGGGGAACAGCACGTGCTCTCCGAGGGAGAGTTCCCAACACTCACGGCCATGGGCTGCCTGGCCTCCACCGCCCTGAGCTCACTGCGAAAGGTCCCCCTGGTGAGTGCCCCCTGCCCTCCCGAGGGCCTCGGCTCCTTCAGGAGAAGAGGAGAATGCTAAGCCCCAAGGCAGAAGACGGGCACTTTGGGTCATTTCCTCTCCCTATGAGTCTCAGTTTACTTACCTATAAAAAGAGGGTGTTAGATTAATTGATAAGTATATTCCCTCTCACCTTCAACATTCTCTGTTCTAAGGGCCCTCCTGAGTTCTGACAACCTGTGTTCTCAGGGCCCTCCCAGTTCTGACATCCTGTGTTCTAAGGGCCCTCCCAGTTCTGATATCCTGTGTTCTGAGGGCCCTCCCATCTCTGACATCCTGTGTTCTCAGGGCCCTCACAGCTCTGACATCCTGTGTTCTATGACTCTAATTTTGGAGACAGACCTACTAGAAGCAGTCTCATCTCTCCCCCCAACTTCAGGGAGCCCTGCTTGGAGTAGATAATGGACCACAGAGTCTTTTCTCTTGGTCCAAGGTTAAGAATGAGAGGACTGCATGAAGACATAAGCTCTACTCCCCCTAGTAACAGTAGTGGGGCTAGAGTTGGGGCTTCCATTGGAGTAGATGTACATTGTGAGTAAAAGGCACTGCCTGGGTGGGGGGAGGTGTAGGGGTGTCCATAGATCTTCATTTTAGCCCTGGCTTTGACCAATAACCTGCTGTGTGCCTGTACGCAAGTCACCCGACTGCTTTGGGATCCAGCTTCCTCCTCTGTAAAGGAGTAATCAGTAATCTCTGCTTTGTCTGGGTTCTGGTGCTAGAACACAGCTAGACATAAAGGTATTCTACAAATGATAATAACTCACATTCTAATTAGTTTCAACAAAGCACTTCACTCATCACCACCCCATGAAGTAGGGGGGATGATGATGATGACGATAGCTAGCATTTATATAACGCTTTAAAGTTTGGAAAGCATTCAAGGTGACTCAATGGATAGACCTCTAGACCTGGAGTCAGAAACACTTGAGTCTTAGATCCTTAACCTCTGTCTGCCCTCAGTTTCCTCATCTGTAAAATGGGGATAATAATAGTGCCTTCCACCCCCGGTTGTTGTGAGGATCAGATGACATGCTATTTGCAAGTACATCGGACCATGCCTGGAATATTCTGAGTGCTTAAGAAATGCTTGCTCCTTCCCTCCTTTATCCTCACAACCACCCTGGGAGGTAGGTGCTATTATTATCCCCATTTTACAGGTGAGGAAACTGAGACAGACAGACTTTTACGCAGAGTCACATAATTAGTGTCTGGGATCCAATTTAAATTCAGGTCTTCCTGACTCCAAGTGCACTGGGCTTCCCAGCTGCCTGTAGTATAGATATTACTGCAAATATGCCCATTTTTCAGGTGATAAAACAGAGACTCGGAGGATTAGTGACTTGCCCAAGGTCATACTACTTGTTTAAGTGTTTAAGATGGGATTAAACCCAAAGCCAGCGCTGTTCCTGCTATGAGTGGTGGCTTCGGGCCGGTTCTGACTCCATATCTGCGGCCAAGTCTTATCCTATGTTTCTTCCACCAGCATTTTTCGGAGCCATCCATCTTCCTGTATGGGCTAGAATGTTTTGAGGGAAAGGAGATTGAGCTCAATGGGGAAGTCCGGAGCCTTCAGGCGGAGGGCTTCAACAACCACGTCCTGTCTGTTCGGATCAAGGGGGGCGTGTGAGTCCTGGGAGCCCTGGGGTGGTTGGGGGTGGGAAGGACATAGGGAAGGAACTAGGGTAAAACCTTCAAAAGGAGCACAGGACAAGAGGGAAGGGGTAAGTTTGTTGTGGGATGGAGCTGGAGGCCCTAGGGAAGAGGATGAGGGAAGACAGGACCCCAAAGTCTAGGGGATTCCCAAACCTAGGACAGTCCCATCACAAAGGCTACATTTTTTAAAATCACAGTAACTAGATTTTGACCTCCCCAAAGCTTGGGCTCTGTAGCCACTGAGCAGGGAGAGGCCCTGGGCCAAACTACCCCCATTGGGTCCCTAATCAATCAATAAATTTATTAAGCACCTGCCATGTGCCAGGCACTATGCTGAGCATGGGGGGATACAAAAGGAGGCAACCCACTGTGATCCCCCAATCTCAACTCCTATGGGAGTCAGGTCTGAGACAGGGTGCTTCCATTGTGGTGAGAAAGAGGTCTGACCTCCATCCTACTTTTTCCCTGTGTCCATTTCTTTCTTCCTTTATGTGCTTCTGCCTCGGTCTCCCCATCTTGGGTTACGGCCCCCAGCTGGGTGCTATGTGAGCACAGTGACTTCCGAGGTCGTCAATGGCTGGTGGGAAGCACTGAGCTTACCAACTGGCTGAGCTACAGCGGGACCCAGAGAATTGGCTCTCTCTATCCTATCAAGCAGGTATGCCCAAGGGCAGATGTAACTGAATCTAGTTTTCAGTGTGGATTTTTTGTGTGTCTGCCTGTGACCCTGCATGTGGGGCTCTTCAGTGACTTCTTTATATACCCACGTCAGCATGCATTTTTGCCCCTGCCCATGAATGAGTCTAGGTGCTTATTTGTGCGTACACATGGGTTCCACTGTATAAAACAGTGGGTGCATGGTGCCCCTACCCTGCTCACAAAAGTGAGGTTGGAGACGGGCTTGGACCTGCCGGAGGTGGGGAGACTGGGGTTGGGGCTAACTCCAGGAATGTGAAAGAGGAGGACAGGGGTACCCAGGGAGGTCCCAGGTCTCTCCTCCTCACCCTGCTCCCTGCTTTCCTTAGCGCCGAGTTTACTTCTGCCTGCGGAACAAAGGCCTGGGAAGGTGGCTGGCAGTGCCCGAGGACGTGGAGGACATGAAAGCTGGGAGGGTTGTGGTCTCGGAGACCCGGGCTGGGGGCAACTGTATCTGGTACTATGAAGATGGGCTACTGAAGAATCAGGTATGTGAGGCTAGGGTCAGGGAGGATGGGCATGCCTGGGGCCCCTGGCAAGGAAGGCTGTCTCACAGGCCTTTCCCCTAGTCAGTGCCCAAACTGATCAGAGAGATCAGACAAAGAGCCAGGACAGTCTGGCAGAGAGACTCCTACAGAATTTCTTCTGCATTAGCTTGCAAGATCCAGATAATGGAAAGAAATGAGGTGCTGCTGTCCTGATTGGTGAACTTAGGTCAGTTACTCCCCACTTGGGACTCAGCATCCTCCTGTAAAATGAGGGTACTAGACTAGATCATCTCTAAGGCATTTTCTAGCTCTGACATCCTGTGTTCTAAGGGCCCTCCCAGCTCTGACAGTCTGTGCTCTGAGGGCCCTCTCAGCTCTGATATCCTGTGCTCTGAGGGCCCTCCCAGTTCTGACATTCTGTGTTCTAAGGGCTCTCCCAGCTCTGACATTCTGTGTTCTAAGGGCCCCCCAACTCTGACATTCTGTGCTCTGAGGGCCCTCCTAGCTCTGACAGTCTGTGTTTTTATGTCCCTCCCCAGCTGTGACATTCTATGTTCCAAGGGCCCTCCCAGCTCTGATACTCTGTTCATCCATTCATTTAACAAACACTTCTTAAACATCTATTCTACAGGACACTGTGCAGTATAAGAACTAGGGCAGATGGGAAGATTGGTTAAGATCCGGTCCCTGCCTTTAAAGAGTTTACAAACTCTTAAGGGAATCAAGCAAGACTGAAGCATTCATTATGTGACTATGTTGTTCTCGTGACTGTACCGTGCACAGAGGGAGGAGGAAGGCGGGGTGCAAATACCAAAGGGAGGCAGGCCCTGGTCTCCAGGAGCTGACATTGTGTCAGGAGAGAGGGCATTCTCCATGGCAGGCAAGCAATGAATCAATAAGCATTTATGAAATGCTTACTGTGTGCCAGGGACCAAGATACAAAGAAAGGTGAAAACAGGCCGGCTTTCAAGGAGTGTGCACCCTCATGGGGGAGATGACGTGGGAATAAGTAGGTCCCTAGGAGCTATGCATGGAAGAAATGGAAGGCAGCCTCAGAGGGTGGGCTATAGTAGCTGGGGTATGTTGGGGGACAGGCAGGGAGGAAGGAACCCAAGAGAGGCCTCAGGCAGGAGGTGCCCCTTGCAGAGATGACCAAGCCCACCTCTTCATTGTATAGTGGAGGATCCAGGGGCCCAGAGACAGGACTTGGCAGTAAGAGGCAGAGCAGGGATTTGAGCCACTCTGACTCCAATGAGGGGTGCCAGGAGGAACCTCTAAAGCTCTGGGGGAGCTGTATTCTAAGGCCTAACATAACATTCTGGGCCTGGGGGCTTCTTTTAGCCCTGATAGTCTGATGTTATCCTTCTTGAGGAGCTAGTATGATCAGCTAAGAGTGGGGTTCTGAGCAGGGCTGGGAAGGAGGTGGGCTTTCTGCAGTTAGGAACGGCACCAGAGACTTGCTTAGGACTTGAAGCCTTGGTTAAAGGATGTGATGGCCTCCTGGGGGTCCAGGTGGCCCCAACAATGAGCCTACAGGTGATTGGGCAAGCCAGCCCTGGATCCAAGGTGGTGCTTTGGAGTGAGAGCCGACAACCCAGACAGACGTGGAGCATTGACACCTCTGGGCACATTTGCAGTGAGATGTTTGAGGACAAAATCCTGGACGTGAAGGGTGAGGTGGGGGCAGGGAGAGGGCATGCTCTGGAGGTTGTGGGCCAAGGATTGGGAAGGCATTTCAGCCCCTCACTGAATCACCTCCCTGTTCCCCTATAGGTGGCCGAGGCTATGATAGGGACCATGCTGTGCTGTGGGACAGGACTGAGGACAGACCTTCTCAGATCTGGGATGTCCAGGTGCTCTGAGATCCTCCACTCCAGAGGACCTAGAGGGGTGGAATGGGGTGGGGGGCACCTGAACTGGGCCAGATGTTTGTACAGATGTTGTCTTGTAACATAATATGTTTTATAATGTCTCCCTGGCTCTCCTTGTGTTTTTGACTCCCTATATCTTGGATTTGGGGTTCTCTTCAGGCCAGGTTCCTCATTTGTGGAATTCTACATTTTCTCCCTGCCCTTTACCGCCTTCCTGCACCCCATCCTTTTGCTGCTGTTTTTTTGCTACTGATATCGGGGCAGGGTTCTCTTAGGAGAAAGGGCATCCCTTGTAGCCACTAGAGGGCACACACTACCTTGTGTGATAGTAGCGGGCAGGGAAAGGCTGGGGGGGGGGAAAGGGGGAAGAGAGAAGGAGAGGGAAAGGGGGAAGTGAGGAAAGAAGGAGAAAGGGAAAGAAAGAAGGATAGAGAAGGAGAAAAGAGGGAAAAGGGAGGAAAAAGATAAAGGGAGGAAAGAAAGGAAGAGAAGATAGGAAGAAAGAAATGAAGAGAAGAAAGGAAGAGGGGGGAAAGGGAAGAAAGAAGAGAAGGGAAGATAGAGGAGAAAAGAAAGAGAAAGGAGAAAAGGAGGAAAGAAGGGAAGAGGAAAAAGGAGGAAAAGAAGGAAAATAGAGGAGGGAGAAAAGAGAGGAAATGGAAGAAAGAAGAAAAAGGGAAAAAAAGATGGGAAGAAAGAAGTGAAGAAAAGAAGGGAAGAGAGACAGAAAGGGAAAGGGAGGAGAGGCAGAAAGAAGGAGAGAGAGGAAAGGGAAAAGAAAAGAGAAAAGGAGGGAAGAAGAAAGAAAAAAGAGGAGAAAGGGAAAATAGAGATGGGAGAAAAGGAAGAAAGAATGGAAGAGAGAAGTGGAGGAAAAGAAGGAAAAATAGAGAAGGGGGAAAGAGAATAAAAGGAAGACAGAAGGGAAGAGAGGAAGATGGGAAGAAAGAAATGAGAAGGGGAAAGGGAGGAGAGAGGGGAAAGGGAGGAGAGAGGGGAAAGGGGAGAAGAGGAGGAAAGAAGGGAAGAAAGAAAAAGGAAGAGAAAGAAGGGAATTAGAGAAGGAAGAAAAGATGGGAAAGGGAGGAAAGAAGAGAAGAGAGATGAGAGGAGTAAAGATAAGAGAGGAGAGAGAAAAGGGAGGAAAGAAAGGAAGGAGAGAAGACAAGAGAGAGAAGGGACAGAGAGAAAGAGGGAAGGGGAATGGGAGAGATTGGCTTCTACTCTTCTTGGGGCTCCCAGGACCTGGGGCTGGAGTGGGCCAGGAGATGTGAACTCTATGCTTTCTATCCACCCCTCTGTTCTTCTTGCCGGGGACTCTACCGGATGCCAATTCTTCCCTGCCCCAAGTGCCAGAGAAGAACCTTCAGGGTGTGGTGGGGCCCTGTGACTGCCTCTCCCTCTGGGGAGCCCAAGCCCTTGTTCTAAGAAACAAAGCCAGGAAACCGCAGGGGCCAAGGGGTGAACAGAATCTATTCGGGGGAGACTAGGGTGCAGCCAGTCTAGGGCAAAAAGGGTCCAGAAGTCTGAGGCTGGGCCCAGAGCCTAACCTGCCTGTCAGTGTATGGGGGCTGCAAGTGGGGCGCAGATTGGAGAGGAAAGAGAAAAGGACCAGGGGAGGGCATAACCAAAGCAGGAATGGAGGCAGAGGAGACCCCGGCCCTTACTCCCCAAAGGCTTACACTGTGAAGAACCATATCAGCTCCCTCTCCTCCATTTCCTTCCTCGAACACTTCTGGGGTGGCTGAGTGGGAGGAGGGGAGAGGGCAGAGTCCCCAGCTGTCGGGATGTCTCCCACGATCGTCTGTCTGTGGGTATGGCTGTTTGGCTGGGTTCTGGTCGTGTGGGTTTATGGCTGAGGCAGGACTTTGGGGTGGACACGGGAACTCCAAGTTCCTAACTCTGCCCCAAACTCATTGTGTGACCTTGGGCAAGTCTCTTTATGTCTCAAGGCCTCAAGAAACTGAGAACATTGGCCTAAATAATCTCTCAAATCCTGTGAGTCTGTGAGGGGGTTAAGGCTGAGCTCGGTATCTCTGGAGCTGCCTCACCTGCTTCTCTTCCCTATCTACTGAGTTCTGGGAAAGGGCCATGGTTAGGATAGGGTGGGCCCACAGATCAGAGTAACCATGAAGGGGGTGGGGGTAGGAGGCAGGGAGGGGAAGGGGTGCTTCTAGAAATGCTACCAGAAGGTGCTGGGCTTGGGGTGGGGAAGAGCGAGCCTAAAGGGGTCCCTGGAATAGGAGGAGGGGTGTGACAGGAAGATCACACGCTCAGGGCTTTAATAGCTTTATTGAGACAAGCAGGTCAGTACTTTGCTCTTTCATCACTATAACCCTTGGATTATTAAGGAAATAAATCCATGACCCTTGATGACAGGTGCTACACTGGGCATCAGAGCTCCTGAGGAGGCCATGGGATGCTCAGCTGGGGAGGGAGGGAGGTGTCGATGAGAAGGAGTCTTCGGTAGCCAAGAGGAATGAGCTCTCAGGGTCAGGAGGAGGCTGGTACTGAACAGTGGGTGATCAGGGGCTGAGGCTGGCTGTCTCTTAGGTCTTGTCCAGGCCTCAGTGCAGCTGAAGGAGGTAAGTGAGGACCCCGGTGAGGATGAGGATGTTCCAGGTGTAGGGTCCATGGAGCATCTGGGATGACCCAGCTGCAGGCTTTGTGGTTGTTGACGGGATAGAAGCCTGTGGAGGATGGACAAGGCTATGTAGTGAGGACACCCAGAGCCAGCACCCCTACATAGCTCCTTTTAGACAAAGGCCCAGGACACGTCCTCTCATCCAGAAGACTGAGGGGACTTAGCTGGCCTGATGAATGCCCACTTCCCTCCTGCATTATTATTAGCCTGGGTAGATCACTTGTGGGAGGTTCCAACCATTCTTCTGTCTTCCCATTTCCCAAGGGAATCCCACTTTGGGCAGCTTGAAGAAGGGGAAGAAAGACTTCATTCCCAAACCTTTCATTTTGTCTAAATAATGAAAAAAAAAGGCCCTGAGGAAGACACAAGGGGAACATGTTTCCCTTTGGGGGCTTTTAGAAGCAAACACATTTAGAGGTGAGGAAGCCCAAAGTAGTTGGAAAAAAATTTGGAGCTAGAGGCCCCGAGTTTCAATCCTGCCTTTACCCATTTGACCTTGGGCAAGTCACTTTTCTGTGATTCTACTAGATTCCTGAGTTATGTTTTAAGGTCCTTGACAGTTCGTAAAGGAATTTGGGAAAGAGGTCAGAGAAGAAAGGCACTGTAGAACATAAAATATTAGAGTTGAAAAGTCAAATTCAAGTCAATTTAACAATTTTAAGCGTCTACTATGTGTAAGGCACTGTGTTAGGTACTGAAAATATAAGACAAAAAAAAAAGAAACAGCCTTTGTCATCGAGAAATTTGTTCTACTTGGGGTTGGGAGGGCTATAGCATGGACATATGGAGGTGATTAGAAGCTAATTGGAGAAGAGAGAAAATATTAATCAGAGAACAAGGAGAGAAAGGAGAGACAGAGACAGTGAGACAGACAGAGAGACAGAGAGACAAAGTATGAGAGAGAGACAGAGGTGAAGGGAGGGTGAGTGGGAATCAGAGAGACAGGAGGAGGAGAGAGACAAACAGAGAGACAGATAGAGACAGAGAAGTGGAGGGAGGTGGGTGGGAATTGGAGAGACAAAGGAAGAGACAGAGAGAGAAGAGGGAGGTGGAGAGAGGGGAAAACAGTCAGACAGAGGAGAGGGGCAGAGAGGGAGGGAGAGATCCAGAGAGAGGAGACAGAGATCCAGAGAGAGGAGACAGAGAAAGAGTGAGAGAGAAGAAGGAAGCAAAGAAAGACAAAGAAAAGAGAGAGGGAAAGAGAGAGTAAGACAGAGGAGATAGAGAGAGAGAAAAGAGAAGTGCACCAGGTGGTGCAGTGGATAGAGCACTGGCCCTGGAGTCAGGAGGACCTGAGTTCAAATCCAGCTTCAGACACTAGACACTAGCTGTGTGACCCTGGGCAAGTCACTTAACCCCATTGCCTAGCTGAGAGAGAGAGAGAGAGAGAGAGAGAGAGAGAGAGAGAGAGAGAGAGAGAGAGAGAGAGAGAGAGAGAGAAAGAGAGCCCGAGAGCATTCCCAATTAATTGGGAGATTCAGGGAAGACTTCAGGAGGTGACACCTGAATGTAAGCTCCCTGAGGGCAGGCACTCTTCTAGTTCTTGCTTTCAGTCACCATCACGTACCTACCACAGTGTCTTAAACATAGCAGGTTTAATGCAAATATTTGTTTAATATATTAAGTTTTTGTCTAATATAAATGAATATAAAATAAGTAGTTAGTGAATTTAATTGAAGGAAGATAAAGGTTCTGAGAGGCTCTGAAGGGAAAGGAGAACAATCATTCAGTAAGTGCCTACTATGGACTAAGCTTTACAAACACGATGTCATTTGACCTCACAATAACACTTCTAGGTAGGAGCTATTATCTCCATTTTACAGATGGGGAAATTGAGGCTGAGAAAGGGGAAGTGACTCGTACAAAGTCACATAAACTGAAGCCAGGACTCCAGGGTGTGCTTTTGAGGAGAGAAGGGACTCTCAGTCACCCTCTCTCACCTCCCTTACACCCCTGAGCGGGGGACCAATTCCCCTGGCATCCCCAGATTCTCTCTCCACTCCCTCCCCTACAGAGGACTGACCCTTAGCCAACAGATGCCAGACTGGAAATCCAGAAGGCTGGCTTTGCCACTAGTTTTCTGTGTGACTGCAGGAGAGTCATTTCCCTTTTCTGAGCCCCAGCTTCCTCATTGGGAAAATGGAGGGACTGATCTGGAAGGTTCACACAAGCTCGGTCAGTCATTGTTTCCTGTCTGCAGAAAGAAAAGCCCAGCTGGGGCTGGGTCTAGCACATAGCTGTGGTTCTCTAACTGCCTAGGGCACATTTTTCAACAGGCACCTGTCAGAGGGGAAACGAGGTCTTTCTGTTTGTGGCTCCTGGGGTGGGTACCCTTGTGGAGGGGTAGCAGTGAGGAGGAACTAGGCTGAAGTGGCCAGGGAATCTACCCGTCCCCCCTGCGCCCCGTCCCCCAACATCCCCACTTGACAGCCTTTCCCTCCCCGGAGTGGTGAAGCGTGAAACAATACAATGGGGCTCAAATGCTTATTATTCCGATTGGGCCCACTCAATTTAACCTTATAGGAGGGGAGAGAGGGAGATGGAGTATGCATGTAAGTATGTCACATTGGATAGAGCGTGGGGCCTGAGGTCAGGAAGACTCTTCTTCCTGAGTTCAAATCTGGCCTCAGACACTGACTAGCTGAGTAACCCTAGGCCAAGTCACTTAGCTTTGTATGCCTCAGTTTCTTCTTCTGTAAAATTAGCTGGAGAAGGCAATGGCAAGCCACTCTAGTATCTTTGCTAAGAAAACCCCAAATGGGGTCACAAAGAATCAGATGTGACTGAAAAACGGCTCAACAGCCTCTTTTAGGTCATAGAAATGAGGAGCAAAACGACCCAACCCAAGACACAGTTTAGCCAGCTGTGGGGACTCTAGCCTGGTTCCAAGTGGGAATGAAGAGAGGACTTCCCATTTGGTTCAGTCTAACCCAGGAGTTCTTTTTTTGAGGGGGGATCAGGGGAAAAGACTGAGTCTCCCTGTCTCGCCCAGCCCAGAACTGAAGCTGCTACTCAGCACTGATCCAAAGCTGTTTACTCTGAAAACTTTAACCTGTCCCTCCTTAAGCAGCCTGGGGCTCTCCATATTGGTGCCCTGCTTCATCGGATTGTCTCTGACCCTCCTGCAGCTCAGAACTCCCAAACTCCAGAGATCCACCACCCTTAACCTCCGCCCTGCCCCAGCAAGGATTACAGACATGGACCGTCACGCTAGCCTAATCCAGGGCTTCTTAGTCTGGGACGCACCATTCCTTACTGGACTCCCAGGGGGCTGGGGACAGATTTCAGGGGTCTGGAATTAGGCTGAAGAAAATAAAAGACGTCCTTCTTTTTATTCTCCTCTAGCTGAAATGGAATATTTTCTTCTGTTAGTTAAAAGCCTTATTCTGAGAAGGGGCTCGTAGGCTTCACCTGACCGCCAAAGGGGTCCATGATACAGAAAAGGTTAAGAATGCCTTTTCCAACCAAAAGGTAACATCCTTTGATGTTGGGGTATAGAATGCAATAGACAGAAGAGGCTTTTGCATTTTACAACAAGGCACTAGAAAGGGGAAATTGCCTGTCCCACGGCTGAGCTGGGTCCGGAGCTAGCATCCCAGGCAGAGGTGGGGCAACAGGAAGGGGAGCCTTTCAGGAGTGCCAGCCTGACAGAGAGGAAGGATTAGAGATTAGAGCCGTGATTAATTGGCACGGGGAACTGCCCAGTGAAGAAATTCCCTCTCTCAATGCAGATTGGTAGCTTCTCCATAAGAGAGTTATAGCATCTTGCCTGGGAGGAAATCTAAGGGCAAACGGTCGGTGAACCCAGATCTATCTGGTCTCTTTCCATCGTGGGGTCTTTCTCTAGAGCTGCCTCGTTCAGAATCTGTCTTCCCAATCTCATAGGATGCTCAGTTCAGCCCTTGGTGTTATAATCAGATGCCCATGCTGCATAGTCATCAGGGAGGCATGGGATAGCCTAGCTGCCTGGGGCTCCTGTCTAACTGATTTCATCCCATCTTGGGCTGACAGGGCATTTACTGGCCGAGAGGGGTGGGGGAGCCTCTTTGGACGCCAGGCAGTAGAAGGGTTTGGGGGGCTAGTGCCCTTTCTCAGGAAAGACTCCACGGCAGCTAGAAATCAGAGTTGCTGAGCACCTTGGATCTGACAGGACAAGGGCTGGTCTTACCTCGATCTCGATCAGGGCCCCGAGGCAGAGAAGGAGGAGGAGGAAGAAAGCCTTCATCTTTGAGCTTTTGTGCCTAGGCGCTGCTCCTCCAGGCTGTATCTGTGAGAAGCTTTTGCTTAAGAAGAGATAGAGGTAGATATAGCTGAGGGAGGGGCATGAGCATGTGGGAGGGGCATTGACCTCTGTATATCCCAGACTCCTAGAGGGATTGTAGATTGTTATCATAATTGTGTGTGTGGTCCTCTAAGGTTTGCAAAGCTTTTTACATGGGTGATCTTGGACCCTCACAGGGAGACCCTGGGAGTAGATTCTATCACTATCTCTATCTTACAAATGAGAAAACTGGAGCCAAGAGAGATGGTGATTTGGCCAGGCTCACGCTGCTGGTAAGAATCTGAGGCAGGATTCCAGTTCAGATGTTCTTGATTCCAAATCCAGCGATCTCTTCAAAATGCCAGGGGACTTTGGAATACAGAATGTATTCTAGGCTGGGAGGGACCCAAGAGTATCCTTAGAACTCTGGAACATACACTGTCGGAACTGGAAGGGAACTTAAAATATATGTCAGAGCTGGGAATGGCTTTAGAACAGAGAAGGTCAGAGCTGGGAGGAACTTAAGACACAAAATTTCAGAGCTGGGAAAGGCTTTTTTTTTTCTTTTTTCTTTTTCTTTTTGGTGAGGCAATTGGGGTTGTGACTTGCCCAGGGTCACACAGCTAGGAAGTGTCAATTGTCTGAGGCCAGATTTGAACTCAGGTCCTCCCGACTCCAAGGCCAGAACTCTATCCACTGTGCCACTTAGCTGCCCTGGGAAAGGCTTTAGAACAGAGAAGGTCAGAGCTGGGAGGAACCTAGGACACAGGATGTCAGAGCTAGGAGGGCCTTTAGAACACAGAATATCAGAGCTGGGAAGGCCTTTTGAGACCATTTGTCCAAGCATCTCAAGTAATAGAGGGAGAAAGTGAAGCCTAGAAAAGGGCAGCACATTGCTCAAGGTCACACAGCAAGTTAATGGCAGTGCTGGTTCAAGAACCTGGATATTTTGATTACCAGCCCAGTTATCAATCAATGGAGGGTTTTGGTGGAAAAGGGGGAACGCTGGCATGACAAATGGTAAATGCTTGTTGACTTGATTTCCAGGCAACCCGAGTTCCAATTTCATTTCTGCCGCTAAATGCTTGCCTGGCCTTGGTCAAGGTTACTTCCCCCTTTGGGCCTCAGTCCCTTCCTTCATGAAATGAGAGGGATAATCTCATTCAGCTCAGACATTTTATGTTCTAAGGCCCCTCTCAGCCCTGACTTTCTGTGTTCTAAGGGCCCTCCCAGCTCTGACATCCTGGGTTCTAAGGGCCCTCCCAGCTCTGACATCCTGTGTCCTAAGGGCCCTCCCAGCTCTGACATCCTCTGTCCTAAGGGCCCTCCCAGCTCTGACATCCTCTGTCCTAAGGGCCCTCCCAGCTCTGACATCCTGTGTTCTGAGGGCCCTCCCAGCTCTGACATCCTATATTCTAAGGGCCCTCCCAGCTCTGACATTCTGTGTTCTAAGGACCCTCCCAGCTCTGACATTCTGTGTTCTAAGGACTGTCTCAGCTCAGACATTTCATGTTCTAAGTTCCTTCTCAGCTCTGACATTCTATGTTCTAAGGGCCCTCCTGCTTTCGACCTAATCTGAGATCCTTTTCAGCACTGATGTTCCATGTTCTAAGGTTTCTTCTAGCTCTCATTTTCTATGCTTTAATATGGCCTCAGACCCTTTCCAGCTCTAATATTCCATGTTCTAGGCTCCCTCTTGACTCCAACATTCTCTGTTTTAAAGTCCCTACTAGCATTGCGTGCTCACTTCAGGTTGACACTGTGGTTTAGTGAAGAGGATGGCCCAGGATGAAGGGAAACTCAGTGGAGTTGGCCACTGTGGTCCCAGGGCTCAGAGGGGGAAGGGTCTTGGCAGATAAGTAGAGGTGGAGTGGATTTATGTTCTTCACTTCTGCCAAAGGGTCCCACCTCCCTGGAGTCTACACCCCATTCTATCCAGTGTCTGTGCATTTGCCCCATAAAGTGAAAGGACCCGTGGATTAGGTGACTAGCTCCATAGCCCAGGAGGCCCCTGGATTTACTTTCGATATCATTTTCGTATGCCTTGCACAACAAATTTAAAAACAGAAGCAAAATCTCCCCACCTCCACTCATTTGGGTTGGCTTCACCTGGAAAGGATCTGGGTGGACTTTTGGAGGCCTTTGGGCTTCCTTTGTGACTGGACTCTGGAGCAAGAACTGAGACTTAGGAGTGGGGGGGAGGAGAAAGCCACAGGAAGTGGGCATAGAAGATCTTGGGCCTGAGGGGGCTGCCTGCTGCTTGGGGAAGGAGCAACTTGGGCAGAATTAGCTCAAACTCTTCATGACCTACTTCCTCCCCCAGTCAACCAAGACTCCTCAGCCTCCCCCACCCACCCTATCCCCCCAAACTGGGCCTGAAACTCCATTTCTGGTGTAGAAATGGATCTATCTATGAGTGGATATTTTCTGTGAGCTCCTAAGTGTCTCTCCCTAACTCCCTTCCTCTGTTCTAAACCTAGAGTTGAGAGGTCAGGGTTCAGGGTCCAATTCCAACATTTGCTAAAAATGTGACCGTGCAATCACTTAACTTTGGTGAACCTTAGTCTTCTTTTATGTAAAACTGAGATAATAATACTTGGCCTCCCTAGCTCACTGGGTAACTGTGATTAAATTTTTTTTTTAATCTTAAAACCCTATGATAATATGAGCTAATGATGATGATGATGATATCTTGCATTTATGAAGTGCTTTCAGCCAACAGTCAATAAACGTTTATTAAACTCCTATTATGTGCCAGTCACTGTGTTAAGTGCTGGGGATACAAAAAGAGGCAAAAGACAAGTCTGCCCTCAAGGAACTGACAATCTAAGGTTTGCAAAGTGCTTTACACACATTATCTCATTTGATCCTGAGCACTCTATCTGCTAAACCACATTTAAAAAGTTTTTGTGTACAGCATTCCCTTCAGGGCTCAGTCTCTGAATTCTGAGTCATATTATTGGGCTGGGTCCCCAGAGGACAATT